AGACTGGAAAATGTGTGCTTTGCTTACTTGAAGTATATTTTGATGCCTATACTTTTGTACTTATACTTAAGTAACATTCAGAATGCAGTTCTTTTACAATGTAGTATTGCTACTTTTACTGCTCTGCTGAAAGGTCACACACACACACACACACACACACACACACACACACACACACACACACACACACACACACACACACAACACACACACACACACACACACACACACACACACACACACACACACACACACACAACACACACACACACACACACACACACACCACACACACACACACACACACACACACACACACACACACACACACACACACACACACACACACACACACACACACACACACACACACACACACACACACACACACACACACACACACACACACACACACACACACACACACACACACACACACACACACACACAACACAACACACACACACATCCCTGTCTTTATTGCATTCTGGGGGTACCTGACCAGACCATCACTTTTGGGATCCACCCTTTCTGAAGGTTGTACAGCACTGTAAAAAATCAGGCAGAATCCTGAAGTGGACACAAACAAAGATTTCACTTCAAATTATCAATCAGAGAAAGTAGAGGTCACTGACCAGACTATAACCCGTTTCATGGGGTCTTGTCAGGTACAGAGTTACAGGAGGGGTCCATATATACACACTGTCTAGCTTTTAGTCATGTGTGGGCTCCAAAAATACACTGTCTGGTTTAAAACATTAGTGGGGTCACTTTGCACACTGTATTACTAAACTTACTTTAGGTAACAATGAAACACCTTTGACTGTCAAAGTGAGGGCTATCATGATGCAGAATGATTTTCACCTTTAGTGTCAACATGTAGCTTCTGTTGAGTGACACAATTATATTGAATTCCAATGTACTGATAGCATTTTAATTAATATTTAAGCTATTATAGTAATGTTTTTTATTAGTCTATTTACCCACTGTTACACTGGGATGTCTGAACTCGTGAATGAGACTCACAGTACATTTACTGAATTTGCATCAGTTTCCTTCTTTTTAAATAAAGAGGGGTTTGTGTTCTAAGTGTTAATTATTGAAGCCATATAAGTCATGCTTATAAGGCTATTCTGCTTAAATAGTAATTGTAATTTCCATTTAAGCAATACAATGTTATTATAGAGCTTTCCAGTAAATACAAGGAGATTGTCGTTATTAGACTTTTAATTTTCAAAAGAAGAACTGTATTCAGTGTACACAAAAAGGTATCGCCATTTAAGAACGGCATTATTATATAACAGAGGTCCCAAAAAGGACTTAAAAAACAACTTGTGGCTGATTTAAATGAGGGTGTAAGGTCACTGGAAGAATTTAACCTTCAAAACTTTTATGTTAGACATGAAGGGAGATTACTTAAGTAATGATATGCGATTCAAAGGTAATGACACAATAAAATGGTAGATACAGACGAGGACACCAGATGTGATATTTGGGACATTGAAAGAAATAAGGAAATTGAAAGTGTGAAAAGGGACAAGATTAAATTGTGTTAAGAAAAAAACAAGATAATATGAGAAACTAGAAGAGATGATAAGGTAGTTGAGATGAAAGGAAGATTACAAAAAAGAGATGAGATTTAGGCTGGTGCCCCACAAGGACGAAAAGGGGTTGTATCCGCATATTTCTCTTGCGTATAGCCCTTTTTGCCACACGAGGCCGTAACTAAACGATAGAAACGGACCCCGCAAACGATAACGGGTCCCAAGGTGGATAGATCTGCAAACGGAGCGCTCTGGGGGGGTCCAACGGCTCCGTGTGATCGCCCCTATACGATCATTTTCTGATAATGATGACGCAATAGCCCCGCCTCCCCCCACCTCTGCTGCTCACCCCCGCGTCAAAGTACACTGCACACTGAATTCAGATTATTTATCTTTCTCTCGATATGGACATAAACGCGAGTGAAGTCTAATCTGACAGGACGGAGACACGCAGCTCCTCCCGCTGTGATGCAGCGGGAGCAAAACACACACTTCAAGTCAGATCATCACCCTTAGCTATTTTAATTACCTCTCAAACTACATAAACTAGTTATAAATATGTTTATTTTTACTGTCGGGTCACTCATTACTGGATCAGCTGCTGCATGAGACAGACGCTGACGCTGAATTTAACACACGTTGACCGGCGAAAAACTCTGCCCGGTTCCGTCGGCTCCCACCAAGGAGAATAAACAGAAGTGCAGCCATGACAACCATTCTTCTTCGCTGCTTTTGTGGAGGAAGTTGCTGCTTTTGTGGAGGAAGTTACAGCGCCACGTACAGGCTCGGCATATGTACTGCAGCTTTTCCAGCGGTTGGAGCTAAACGGAGCTGTCTCGTGTGAACAGACACTATCCGGTGTCTATTGCGTGTGGACGGAAGCTTTTTTTGCGAAAGTTTCAGAGGAGAATATCTCAAAACCTCACAAATAAACGCACCAAAACTAACTGCATAAGCCTGGTGCTAAACTAGGTATACATTTTCTAATGCGTTTAAAATAACCCTTTTACATTGGATTGAAACAAAGAAAAATTGCTTTCAATATTACACCAGTAACTGAAAATGCGAGAGAGCAAATAAGAGGATGCAAAATGTAATGTTATATATTCAAAAGAGTTAACATTATACACAAGCAGATCTAAAAGATGTCAGTGTAGAACCATGAAACATTACATCAACCATGGAAGAGCATTCAGTAACAAAGTATGGTCTAAAAAGTTGACCTTTTTGCCTTCTCTGGGTCTGTGGTTGAACGGCTGGTGGAGGTGTCATGGGGCCCTGTTGCGATGCTTCATCTGTATTGCTCCCATCTCTCATTGTTGTTTTATTCTCCTCCATCTCAGTGGATGTGACTTGACCCTCTGAAAACCAGATATACAAAATAATCAATTATGTGTTGCAAAATGAGTAAGGAGGTATTGGATAATGTTTATATGACTCATAATCATTCTTAATTTTGATATGTGTAAGTTGGCTCTGATATCTGCTATAAAGGTGTTGCCTCATGTAACTCAAACAGTTAAAAAGAGGTGTAGGTGAAGTCTGGGAGCATGAATTAACCTCTCACGTACAGTTGGTATGACTGGTACAAAGCAAACTGAGCTAGCGTTAGAGCACACATGTCAAACATGATGTTTCCTTCAGTTTATGGACAGAAAAACAGAAAGAAGTGTAGTTTAATGTGGTTCTAGTAACACAGTTACGTGGACCCCACAACAACAGCACCCCTGACATGTGTGTGTGAGAGTATTCTGCTAAAGGCCCCCTGACTGGACCCCATTTAATCAGAAAAACCTGACTGTGTTCGGCAGCACACATTCAGAGATACACTGATCTACAGAAAAGCCAATTGAACCATCAAATGCCAATACCAAATATCAATAAAACAGGCAATTGTTAAATACTGAATTATTAGGGAAATTAAGACAAGGGGAAAATCCATTGAAGAAGTACCTGTGTGTTGGAGATTGAAGATCTCTGAGGAGCTGGCTCACTAGTACTGGGGATCTCAGCCTCAGAAGACTCGGTGGCAGTAGCTTGCTCTCCAACCTGAAGAATAATTCAACAGTATTAATATATTGTTTCAATGCAACAACAATAAACAGAAACAGAAAACCTACTCAAAATGAGTAAGGAGGTATTGGATAATGTTTATATGACTCACAATCATTCTTTATTTTGATATGTGTAAGTTGTCTCTGATGTCTGCTATAAAGGTGTTGCCTCATGTAACTCAAACAGTTAAAAAGAGGTGTAGGTGAAGTCTGGGAGCATGAATTGACCTCTCACCAACAGTTGGTATGACTGGTACAAAGCAAACTGAGCTAGCGTTAGAGCACACATGTCAAACATGATGTTTCCTTCAGTTTATGGTCAGAAAAACAGAAAGAAGTGTAGTTTAATTTGGTTCTAGTAACACAGTTACGTGGACCCCACAACAACAGCACCCCTGACATGTGTGTGTGAGAATATTCTGCTAAAGGCCCCCTGACTGGACCCCATTTAATCAGAAAAACCTGACTGTGTTCAGCAGCACAAATTCAGAGATACACTGATCTACAGAAAAGCCAATTGAACCATCAAATGCCAATACCAAATATCAATAAAACAGGCAAGTGTTAAATACTGAATTATTAGGGAAATTAAGACAAGGGGAAAATCCATTGAAGAAGTACCTGTGTGTTGGAGATTGAAGATCTCTGAGGAGCTGGCTCACTCGTACTGGGGATCTTAGCCTCAGAAGACTCGGTGGCAGTAGCTTGCTCTCCAACCTGAAGAATAATTCAACAGTATTAATATATTGTTTCAATGCAACAACACTAAACATAAACAGAAAACTTACTCAAAATGAGTAAGGAGGTATAGTTTAAAGTTTCGGTGAGTCATACTTATTCATATTTTAATATGTTAAGTTGGCTCTGATGTCTGCTATAAATGTGTTGCCTCATGTAACTCAAACAGTTAAAAAGAGGTGTAGGTGAAGTCTGGGAGCATGAATTGACCTCTCACCAACAGTTGGTATGACTGGTACAAAGCAAACTGAGCTAGCGTTAGAGCACACATGTCAAACATGATGTTTCCTTCAGTTTATGGACAGAAAAATAGAAAGAAGTGTAGTTTAATGTGGTTCTAGTAACACAGTTACGTGGACCCCACAACAACAGTACCCCTGACATGTGTGTGTGAGAGTATTTTGCTAAAGGGTGAGACTACTCCTCTGAAGGCCCCCTGACTGGACCCCATTTAATCAGAAAAACCTGACTGTGTTCGGCAGCACACATTCAGAGATACACTGATCTACAGAAAAGCCAATTGAACCATCAAATGCCAATACCAAATATCAATAAAACAGGCAATTGTTAAATACTGAATTATTAGGGAAATTAAGTCAAGGGGAAAATCCATTGAAGAAGTACCTGTGTGTTGGAGATTGAAGATCTCTGAGGAGCTGGCTCACTAGTACTGGGGATCTCAGCCTCAGAAGACTCGGTGGCAGTAGCTTGCTCTCCAACCTGAAGAATAATTCAACAGTATTAATATATTGTTTCAATGCAACAACAATAAACAGAAACAGAAAACCTACTCAAAATGAGTAAGGAGGTATTGGATAATGTTTATATGACTCACAATCATTCTTTATTTTGATATGTGTAAGTTGGCTCTAATATCTGCTATAAATGTGTTGCCTCATGTAACTCAAACAGTTAAAAAGAGGTGTAGGTGAAGTCTGGGAGCATGAATTGACCTCTCACCAACAGTTGGTATGACTGGTACAAAGCAAACTGAGCTAGCGTTAGAGCACACATGTCAAACATGATGTTTCCTTCAGTTTATGGACAGAAAAATAGAAAGAAGTGTAGTTTAATGTGGTTCTAGTAACACAGTTACGTGGACCCCACAACAACAGCACCCCTGACATGTGTGTGTGAGAATATTCTGCTAAAGGCCCCCTGACTGGACCCCATTTAATCAGAAAAACCTGACTGTGTTCGGCAGCACACATTCAGAGATACACTGATCTACAGAAAAGCCAATTGAACCATCAAATGCCAATACCAAATATCAATAAAACAGGCAAGTGTTAAATACTGAATTATTAGGGAAATTAAGACAAGGGGAAAATCCATTGAAGAAGTACCTGTGTGTTGGAGATTGAAGATCTCTGAGGAGCTGGCTCACTCGTACTGGGGATCTCAGCCTCAGAAGACTCGGTGGCAGTAGCTTGCTCTCCAACCTGAAGAATAATTCAACAGTATTAATATATTGTTTCAATGCAACAACACTAAACATAAACAGAAAACCTACTCAAAATGTGTAAGGAGGTATAGTTTAAAGTTTCGGTTAGTCATACTTATTCTTATTTTAATATGTTAAGTTGTCTCTGATGTCTGCTATAAAGGTGTTGCCTCATGTAACTCAAACAGTTAAAAAGAGGTGTAGGTGAAGTCTGGGAGCATGAATTGACCTCTCACCAACAGTTGGTATGACTGGTACAAAGCAAACTGAGCTAACGTTAGAGCACACATGTCAAACATGATGTTTCCTTCAGTTTATGGTCAGAAAAACAGAAAGAAGTGTAGTTTAATTTGGTTCTAGTAACACAGTTACGTGGACCCCACAACAACAGTACCCCTGACATGTGTGTGTGAGAGTATTTTGCTAAAGAGTGAGACTACTCCTCTGAAGGCCCCCTGACTGGACCCCATTTAATCAGAAAAACCTGACTGTGTTCGGCAGCACACATTCAGAGATACACTGATCTACAGAAAAGCCAATTGAACCATCAAATGCCAATACCAAATATCAATAAAACAGGCAAGTGTTAAATACTGAATTATTAGGGAAATTAAGTCAAGGGGAAAATCCATTGAAGAAGTACCTGTGTGTTGGAGATTGAAGATCTCTGAGGAGCTGGCTCACTCGTACTGGGGATCTCAGCCTCAGAAGACTCGGTGGCAGTAGCTTGCTCTCCAACCTGAAGAATAATTCAACAGTATTAATATATTGTTTCAATGCAACAACAATAAACAGAAACAGAAAACCTACTCAAAATGAGTAAGGAGGTATTGGATAATGTTTATATGACTCACAATCATTCTTTATTTTGATATGTGTAAGTTGGCTCTAATATCTGCTATAAATGTGTTGCCTCATGTAACTCAAACAGTTAAAAAGAGGTGTAGGTGAAGTCTGGGAGCATGAATTGACCTCTCACCAACAGTTGGTATGACTGGTACAAAGCAAACTGAGCTAACGTTAGAGCACACATATCAAACATGATGTTTCCTTCAGTTTATGGACAGAAAAATAGAAAGAAGTGTAGTTTAATTTGGTTCTAGTAACACAGTTACGTGGACCCCACAACAACAGCACCCCTGACATGTGTTTGTGAGAGTATTCTGCTAAAGGCCCCCTGACTGGACCCCATTTAATCAGAAAAACCTGACTGTGTTCGGCAGCACAAATTCAGAGATACACCGATTTACAGATACACTGACTGTCCATTCAAATGCTAATAGCAAATATCAATAAAACAGGAAATTGTTAAATACTGAATTATTAGGGAAATGTAGACAAGGGACAAATCCATTGAAGACGTACCTTTGTGTTGGAGATCCGTGAGGGGGGGTTTCCTGCGTCTCAGTCCCGCCCTTTTTTTATCCTATAATCAAAAACCATGAAGCGTTAATGTGACCAGACACCACCATAATTATTGCAATTCATCGAAATCCTTTATGTATTAGACAACTACATCTAGGACACTGTGGGCAGGGTGATGCTGCTGGGTTCCCTTTAGTACACTTGAGCCTTAATAGGTTCTAGCTCAGTTTTAAGCCTTAGTAAAATGAAATAGAAACCCATCCATGTCACTGAAACTAAACTGGGAAAAGAGGACAGCATGGCTGAACACTGCCCCGGAAAAAACTAAACAGTAACATATTGTAAATACATTTAGCAAAACGCTCTACCTTACTTAAGGTTCCAGTGTGATAACAAATGTTAACACTACTTGGATGTCAATAAGATAGATGGATAGAAAGATTGATCCAAACAGGGAAATCACAGTGTTGCAGTAGAAGTAGTTTTTTAAATATAAAGTTAAAACATTTAAAGGAAAAACCATTATTCTTTTATTGATTAACTCACTATTGACTAGTAGTTGAAAATCCCTGTGTCATTAAATGCTCTCTGGTCTAAAAATAACTTTCACTTCTAACTTCATGCACAATCTTTCCTACATGCTATTTTTGGATTCATGATACATTTGAAACAAAGTTTAGAGAAAAAAAAGAAAATCTTCCAGAGTCACATTTGTCACACAGCTGATAGATTGAAGCAGACTAAGCAGGTGTTTCAACGCTAGGTGCTGCTGCTGATGTTAGCAAATTAGCTACGTTAGCTAGCTAGCTAGCATAGACTTATAGCTAGTGTAGCACACTATAACAGTTTTTTACTGAGTTACTTCATGTTTATTGCTACATTTTAAAGCATGCAAACACAGTTTCATAGTCTGAATGTAAGCTATCTGGTTAATGTTTAGTAAAATATGTGCATTTAAAAGTAAAAATGTATAGTCATAACTTACCCTTTCATTAGCAACACTCTCACTGCCAGTGAAGTGCAAAATGAGATCCACATGGTTCTCTCCATTCTCTCCTCATATGGAGCGCTTGTTTTAAACAGTCAGCACATCCTGTAAGGGTGGTCATGCTATCACAATGAGAATTCCTCTCTCCGCCCATCAGGAATGTCCCAATATCTAAATCAAGGTGACCCAATCTGACCATATCATTAAGACAAGGCTATTTATTAAGAACATTTAGATTTGTATTATTTTATATATATATACAGGGATGCAAACTCATCAAGTATGAAACGTGAAAAGTACAATATCTGAGTACTTCTATGTTTACTCAAGCACAAGATCTGAGTACTCTTAGAACATAATTTATTAGCATTTTGCTAACTGTTAGCTTGTCTATGACGTTTTCAATGTTAAGTTAGCATTTATGCTAACGGTTAGCTTGTCTAAGCCGTTTTCAATGTAAAGTTAGCATGTATGCTAACGTTTAGCTTGTCTATGGCATTTTCAATGTTAAGTTAGCATTTATGCTAACAGCAGCTGTAGTCTGTATTGCACTGTAATCTCTCAAATCTTTTTATATTTATGTCATTTACCTAATTAATGATTAATGATTCATGGCTTGTTATTGTGACAACACGAGTTAAACTCACCAAAAATGTATACATTTGTGTTTTTCATTCTGTATTTCATTAAAGACACTAAGCTAAGGAGCTAAGTGCTACCAGCTAATCAAACAGCTAAAGATGTTGGAAGATGGCTGCTTGCACATGCGCAGTTCAGCAAAGTGTGTGTGGAGAATGGAATGTGTGTGTGGGATGCAGTACCTGCCTTGGCCAGTAGTGGCCGATACTGAGTTACCTCCCGTTAGCACACTTATACACACTAAGTCGGTAAAAGTGATTTTTGGGGACAACCCTGAAAACTTCACAGGGCATAGTTCTGACCTTCATTTTAAAGAATATGAGTTAAAATTTCTGGGGTCCAGGGTTTTGGACCCCACACAAAAATTGGACCCCACGGCGTGACTGGGCTGTCTGATGCATGGCCACACAATGTAATAATAACACACACACACACACACACACACACACACACACACACACACACACACACACACACACACACACACACACACACACACACACACACACAGGATGTTTCTCCTTAAGGCAGGTAAGGCTTTCTTCAGAAGTGTAAATGAGCCGGAGATGTGTTTGGAGATGACAGGAGGAGACGCTCGCCATCAGATCAAATGCTCTTAAATCAGTGTAATAATAAAGGCTCTACTCATCCTTACGTTTCATATTAAGCTTTATAAACACTCTGGTACAGTTCCTTCATATTAAGGGTGTTTGTTTAGACATCATATCTTTACAGGAAAACAGATGGGAACCTAGTTGGAAAACAAAAGATAGGACAGTTATCAATTCACACAACAATATAAGGTGTTTGCATATATACAGATATGAATAATGATGGATATGTTGAGGCCCTAATATGGTTTTCCCTTTCCTGTAATGTGTTATATGTTTGTGTGCATGTAAATGGTCTGCAAAGGTTGGTATATTTGTTCTTCTTCTTCTTCTTCTTCTTCTTCTTCTTCTTCTTCTTCTTCTTCTTCTTCTTCTTCTTCTTCTTCTTCTTCTTCTTCTTCTTCTTCTTCTTCTTAATAAGGGGTTAATGTGCCTTTAATGATTTCATTTGATTTTATAAAAGCTAAAGATACTATCTGTGAAAAAATCAACTATTCTTTACTGATGCTGAGTGTTCTCCTAAAAGGACAACGTGACATTGTGGCGTAGGTATCGTATGAAAAACAAAGGAAATGTTGTATGGAGGTGGTCAAAATATGTTTAAATGATGCCTATTGCAAGGGTAAGATGTTTGAATAAGTAGTTCTCACAAAAATCCTGCATATAGAATTTTAGAATCAGTCAGGAAAAGCTTTATTGGCAGTTTACGTGCACACAGTCGAGGAATGTGATTCAGTTTTTTTGTCGTTACTCGTATTGCTCGTACACAGAAATAGACACAGTTAAAACAAGGACATCAGAGCTGAACAACAAAAACATAAATATTTGAATACTATAAATATTTGACTACTATGTACGGTTATAAATATGTATGAAAATAGTATCTATATGTAGTAGATAACAAAAACCCATCACAACACAATGGAATTTGTTAACAGCAGTACAAAATAGAAACACATATCGGATGTTTTTTACAAGTATATCAACAAGTAAAACCACTGTTTATTGAAATGATTAAATACTTAGTGTTACAAGTTACTATTGCACAGGGATTGTTCCTGACACTCAGACGGATGACCTGTGTGTTGGGTCTGCAGTGACTTTACCTGCTGTTACCTGAAAATGTACTTTAATTTTAGGTTGTGTATTGGACTATATCCAAGAGAATTCCGAATACGCCCTGAAAAAAAAGCAGTGGAGCTAAGGTCCCAAAAGTTTTGATTAATTAAAAAAATTGAATTCATTTCTAAATTCAAGTTTCAATCCTGAATATTGAAAAATACAATTGTTAAGAATTCTTCATGTTCATGCTCAGACACTTTTATTTAAAAAATAAGCGCTTATTTTGTAATACGGGTTGTTTTCGTTTCCTGTTTAAGACGTTCCTACTTTATGTTCCTGCCGTCGCTACAGTGCATAAGTCACTGACCGTGTGAGTAGTGAAGTTGCTTTTGTAATGCGAATAGTTTTTTTTGAGTTGCAGATTTGATCCTTTCAGATCAGGAACTATGTTTTCTCAGTTTCAATTCTCATTTTTTTCATTTTCAGATTGTTTTTCACTTTCAAATCGTGTTTTTTGCCTTCAGACCAATTTGGCGATGGTGTAGTCCATAAATTAAACTAATATGAACTCAAATGTCATATATATATCACAGTGTGAAGCTAACTCTACAGCTACGAAATGGCCTCCTGGTGGCTCTAGTTACGAGGTAGGCGTGCGTGTTGTTTTCCTGTTAATGCCACTTTGAATGCAAATACAAAAACAAACTACTAAACAAACACGGATCATGGCTGGAATATTGACAAGCCGGTTTTGGCAGCTGTACTCTTCTCGCTCTGCACTGAGGTCAGGCTGAAGCTGCACTGACCTCCGTAATCTATTCTTCAAGTCATTGCCTCTAGAAGAACAAGTTGTAATAACAGACAGGATGGTAGTCACTTAGCATGCACACATATGCTTCTGGTGTAATGTCTAACTGTAACACCGCTGTCCATTTTTTAAAGTTTAAATTCTTGCATGTTTAACACAGTGTACCTTCTTTAAAAAAAACATGCAAAATGAAATAAATAAAGTGTAACTGGAGCTGATCTGGCGTCCCGTTCATCCACTGCAAATTATTTTAAAGAGGGAAATAAAATCCTGCTTCATTATGAACTCTGCTCTGTAGCAAATTAATGCACACTTCAGGCTGTTGAGTGGGTGCCATGCCATTGTTCCGACAACGCATTATTTCTGAAATCAAAATAGTTTGAAAAATGACGCATTTCCCGGAAGGCCCAATTCCCTCAAAATATCCACTGCCAGCAGACCAGAAGTAACAGAAGCTCAGAGCTGGTTATTATGCAGAGCTTTCTGAACCTGATCTCTTTCCTCCCTTCTAAACCCAACCAGTCCGACCTAAACCTGACCAACCCAACCAACAAGGGCAACTATTAATAGCCAATCAGATGCAGCTTATGGTGGCTCATGCTTTTGGGGTAAAGATGACCGAAACGCTGCCTGGCAAAATTATGGATCCGCCCACTTTCCGGTGAGAACTAACAATTGCTGCCAAATGGAAAACATAGATTTATCAAGTCTAGAAGCAGCTGTGTGGTGAATTACATGTCATACAATAACAAAAAAGTTCCAAAGTCATAAACAATGGGACTGGTCAGTCAATATGTTTGGAGGAAACACTTCAATTATGCTAATGAGGTTAGGGTCAAAGTAAACAGTTGTTATGTTACAACTCAAAGTAGTATGTAAAGATGCCCCATTGATATATAACACAACAGTGGTACCATTTTACCATATTGACGCTTATCATCCATCTCCAATGTC